TTTTCAGTTTTTTTTTTTTTCATTTTTTTAAATTTTTTAAATATTAAATACATTATTTTGTTCTCATGTTTTCTTTAAAATATATTAATATGATTATTGGGACGTAGGTGTGTCGATTTATTATAAGTTGAGATAATTTTATTTTGTAGATAGTTAAAATAAATAAAAATAAGGTATTTAATATTGATTTCTAGGCCCCGACTAGGCGCCGCCTGAGCCCCGCCTAGGCGCTCTAGGCGTTGATCGAGCGCCTAGCGGGCGCCTAGCAATTTTTAGAACACTGATGTGGTGAAAAAAAGTTTTTAGGGATTTCTTTACCGTTATTTTTTATTTTTTAATTTTTTTTTTTATTTTCACATTTACAATTGTTCACTAACTTTTGATTTTCTTTTTCTTTTTTTTTTTCATTTCAAAATTGTTTTTTACTATCAAAGTTTATTATACATATGTCGAACCAAAATTACAACAAAAAAATGTAAGATCTTTTATTTTTCAGAACGATAGAACTCATATATATAAGAACACATACGTACATCTAGTTCACGCCCAATATAGCTGAATCGAGCAGCTATACATTTGAATCTTGTGGGAGGACAACCCGAGGATAGAACTTGATGGGAGCCCAAAGACCATAATAGTCAAACTACACATTTACTACAAACTAAAAAACTACCTACCTCCCACAGAGGGAGAATTAACACTCTCAATTGGAGAACAACACAACTAAACTGATATGGGATATTATACCTGAAGGATTAAACCGGCCCAGTCAAATAGAGTCGAGGAAATGATGTTGGCCGAACATCATTTGAACAACGCATAGAAGGTTTCAGTGTGGGAAGGATAGATTGGTCTTAAATCCATGGAAGGCCTGGTCGAGGATCAACCTGTCGAGCAGTTGGCCATTTTATCGACCACCTCACAGACCGGGAATAGTCTGAAAATCAACTTAGATACGGTCCAGTACAAGAGCCTACGAGGAGAATGCGAAAGGATTCTTATCTCATGTGCAGAGGACATGTGCCGCGACCCGATTGGTCCCCACTGAATAACCGTTTCTAACACATGCGTAATGTACGTGTACAGACGGGTAGGACGGATAACTTTTGGGCAGACAACTCAGCAAATCCGGGCAACTCCTATGGCAAGTATTTCACCCTATATATAGGTATTTTCTACTCTTGATAATTGAATTGAATGGATATTGACTTAAGCATCGGAGGCACTTAACCGGAAAACCCCTCCGGTGTGACAATTCTTTTCAGGTACGCGACGTTCTACCAGTGAGGAGGAAGAAGAAAAGCTGATTTCCAGCCGGTCGGAGTGTTTGACGCTACCATAAACGCTCACAGTCAAGAGAATAACACAACAAAACAACATAACGAACACGTAAAAAACATAAAAACACACCTACAAGACAAAACAAAAAATCTAAAAGGAAGAATAATACCCTCCCCGCCGACAGGAAAGCCACTCTGCACCAACACTACTCGCGCAGACAGACCACCGAAGCACGGACCGATCGAACCTCAACCCTCCCGGAATAGTCACCACCGAAACACACCTGGAGACCAGCACCAAACCCTCCCCCAACACAAACCGACAACCACTACCTTGACGCAACTAGAGAAGGAAGTTGCCCGTGGAAGGATCCCTTGTCCCAACACTAGGAAGAGTATTGGGACAGAGGAGTCGCATGGAGCCGACCACAACCTGGACACTGCAAGAAAGAACCGGAGCCCACCAAGATGAAACTCGCTGTCGATCCGGAACCCTCCTACAACCCTCCATGGCCAACCGAGAAAAGCGACGCGACCCGCCGAAGAAGGGAAATAGACCTGTCAGAAGCTCGTCGGAGTCGTGGGGTGCAGTGCACCTGCCGATGGAAAGGCAGAAGGAAGCGATGGAAGAAAAACAAATTGGGATGATTTGGAAAAAAATCGGATGAGAGACATGAATTGTAAAATAAAGTAAGGAAACATAAAAAAAAAAAAAAAAAAAAAAAAAAAAAAAAAAAAAAAAAAAAGTCAGATCAAATTTGTCAGGAAAATTTTACATGTACATAATAAATGTATATAGAGGTGTACATAATACTCACATGCAGTAGGATCTACTTGAATTTTATTTTTGGTCGGTGCCACCCAATGTGAGTGTTATGTACACCCTCATGTACAATATTATGTTTCTATAACATTTATCAATCTATATGTAACGCCCATAATAATATCTACTATATATGGAACTCGATTTTATTTCCATAGGTATTAAGCTTTCTAATTTGATGCATCTATTATTATTATTTTGCATTAAATTGAATAATTAGTATTGAAGTCTAAGCCATGGA